CATGGGCAGGAGTCCCAGCCGCTGGCACCCAGGCCCCCCAACACCCCCTGCACATGGTAACAAGAGTCCCTCACCCAGGGCAAAGGGAGTTCAATGAGAAGACGGCACAGGCTGCGCTGATCAGGTGCAGGGCATGGCCAGACAAACCATCACAAACCATTTACACACAACCGGCCCTTTTTATTCCTGTATCCCTCTGTTCTCCCATACTTGTTCCTCCACAAATCACCTAGATCCCTCCCTTTCCTGCCTTCGGTTCCTCCTCTGAACATCCCCTCATGAATCCTGTGCAATCCCCAAATGCTTTTTCCCTGCATCCCATCGTGTGTCCCACACCCCTGTACGCACCCCCCCCTCCCCCCCCCCACCCCCAAAGGGCCCCTCCTCTTCATGGGTGTCACCCCAGTTCATGGGGCTGAGGCTCCCCTGGGGCAGCCCTGGGAGGGGCCGGACAGGGGGTCCCTTCCTCGGAGTCCTTAATTTGGGTTCCCACCTGCCATCGCACCCCTGTGCTCCTCGGGGTGTGTGGAGATGGGCCTTTGGTGGGCTGGTGGCTCCTGGGATGGGCCTGGGAGCAGCCCGGCAGGGTGCTGTTGGGGCTCCCCCTCCTGCCGCCGTCTGCCTGTGCTCCTTTGTGGGTGCGCAGAGCAGCTTTTGTCACACAAACTCCTTAATGATTGATCAGTATAGTTAGGTTTGGGATCTTTTTTTAATATATATGTCCAACCTAAATACAATTTCTCTCTTTTAAACATTTGGTTTTCCTTGTATAATTTTCTTTGTTTCTTGTAAGTTCTCTGGTCATCTACAAACAAGGCAATTGAGCCATATGTTCCTGTTGTAAGACTGTATAAAACATGTGCATAGAGGCACACACGACTTCTACTGGTCTGTTCAGCACAAAGAGATGAGGGATGGGAAGAAAAGCACGTTGTTGCTTTTGCTCCAGCAAAATTTGCTGAAGGGCTTCTTAAAGCCTTGGAAAGCAAAGGCAAGAGGAGCTGGAGTGCTTTATGTGTAGAAGGGTTTTTTTTGCAGGGGATATAGTGGAAAACCACTTCCTATGCAGGTTAATGACCAGGGAGTGAATTTGGATGGGGCGAGTGTAGCACAGGAGAAGAGGTCAGCACCGGGGAGTCAAGCGGAACGAGGCAGGGGACACGGGCGACAGCTTGCCATGCAGCCCTGAGCACAGAGGGGTGCTTTGCAGGAGGGGTGATGGCTGGCACACGTGTTGAGAGAGACTCATGTCTGACGGTTGTGTGTCCAGCTCAGCTTGGACCAGCTTATCTAACACTGATGTTGCCCTGGGGCTGCGAAGGAGCAAAGTGCACCAGAGGGAAAGGCAGCAGGGCCTTGGACTTTGGTACTAACCACAAAACACTGGCGGCCATCAGCTCCGAGCAGCATTCCCGGCCCCTAAACACCCAGCTCTGCTTGGCAGCTGATGGGGGCACAGCCACCCACGTGCCCTCGGGTGCCAAAGCTGGGCAGGCACCGATGGCATCTGCTGGGTGCTGGCAGCCTCAGCCCTCCCCAGCTCCCCAGCCTGGAGGAGAGGGCTGAAGCAGCGTCACCTGCAGCCGGTTGGGACACTGTACCCCAAAAGCTGCTTCCTGGCATCCGGGAGATCATGTCATGCGAGGTTTCACACAGAGCCTGAGCCTAATTCTGCTCAATGTGTTAATTAAACATTTACCAGAATGTCTTTCCTCAGAGATAGTCACCACCTGAGTGACCACCACCCTGTGCAGCCTGGCCTAACTTTGAAGCTGGTGCCATTTTGAGCTGGGGGGTGGTGGACAGGATGACCTCCAGTGGTCCCTTCCCACCAAAATTATCTTTCAGTTCTCTGGATACACTCCTAATAATTGCGGATGTTACCCAGCTAGGAAGGGACAGGAACACTTGGGAAGGTAGAGTAAGATCACAAAGTCCTTCTGATGAAGGAGAGACATACTCTGAGATTTCTACATGGAATGTAATACCAAAAATGACAAGCTATTGCAGTTGGAGCAGCAAACTAACACAAGCGGTCAGCTGGGAGGAGTACTGCCAGCCGGATGATGACAAAAGAAACCATGGGGAGCTTGGATGTCCGATGAACGGCAAATCAGCAGCGCCCACGTTGGTGCAGGAAACTGAGCGTTAACCGGAACCATGCCTGTGAAACACAAAAAGTCTCTTTCGGGGCAGGGGGTGGTAGTGGTGGGGTGGTGTTACTCAGAGCTGACAAGACTGCGGATTTCACATTTGCCCTGCCTGAGGCAGCAGAAAGGTCCGGATTAGGGGATAGGATAATGCTGGTGAGACAAGGGGTGTCTCTGGGAAAGCCCAGAGGATGAGGCCTGTGAGGCCAAGGCCGAGGGTGCCTGCAGTGCCGTGCAGCCCCCTGCAGCGCCCCGCAGCCCCCTGCAGCGCCCCGCAGCCCCGTGCA